TTCTGCTCTCAAGTGCGCCGGTCTAGGGATTAGCGCTAGCCCCCGGCCGGGGTTTCCTGGGAAGGAAAATACCCCGACTACCCGAGGCTCTCCAGGTGAACCGAAAGCACACTGGAGTCGCTCTGTTCGTCTCGGAGCGACTTGAAAACATACTCAGGTCGCTCTGTCCGCGCATGGAGCGACTCGATGACGGACAAAGGTCGCTCCGGCGCGAACCTCCGGCGAATGTTGGCGATACGTCGCCCAGGAGCCTGACGAACCTCGGCGACCCATCGGCGCACCGAGCGCGACCCTCCGCGAACCGATAGCGTACCGAAAGCATACCAAAAGCAAACAAATCTTTTTGCGTCGGGACACATGAAAATTAAATTTCTCTCAGAATATAACAGACAAAAGTTTCCCAGTGACCACGTGACATTCTGGTCAATTTTCGCATTGCAATTTTGTTTACCAGGCGTTTTTTTCTGCTTTGACAGGCGATTGTGTACGAAGGCCAGGACAAGAACCCCGAGATGTGCCGCGTACTTCTTACACACGAAGTCATGTGCAGGTAAGAATGCTTCAGTTTGTGGAATGTTTGACTTACGCCTCCGAAAATTACTGCAGTTGTCAGTAACACACTTGCAACCTGTCTGCAGTCGGTGTTGCGACAAAAAGAGCTGCGGCAACAGGAACGAGACCCCATCAGACCCCGTAATCATCGACCGGTAAGTTCAGTTCAGTTTTAATCCGTCGTCGTTAGAAATTTTAAAACGACCCTTGGGAGAAATTGACATCACCATAAGTTAGCAAAACTAGCATAAAAGTTGCCAAAAGGTGTAGAGGATACTTCCAGCAAGATTTTTGTCAGAAAATTCCCGCTGTTTTTAGCCCGCCCTTCTGCTTTTAAAAAAGCATTAAAGCGGGCTTATGCAACCGCTCTCGTGTCTGTCCGTCTGTCCGTCTGTCCGTCTGTCCGTCGTCCGTGTAAGAGGAAGGAGATGAGCTAGAGGTCTGCAAATTTCAGGGTATCTTAGGGGTCACTCCTGGACAACGAAACGCCTGGTGCAAATCCTGGCAATCACCCCGAAGGGGGTGAAAGGGGGTAACAAAGAAATAAGGGTTGGTCCAAAAAGTAGAAAAAAAATATTTTTTTTATGGTCTCCTTAGGGGTAACTCGTGAAAGTAGAGCCCTTTGGGCGAAAATTT